AATAAATAAATAATAAATAAATAAATAAATAAATAAACAAACAAATAAATAAATAAATTAAATAAATAAATAAATAAATAAATAAATAAATAAATAAATAAATAAAATAAATAAATAAATAAATAAATAAATAAATAAATAAATAAATAAATAAATAAATAAATAAATAAATAAATAAATAAATAAAGTCAACTCAATCAATCAATCGAGTCAACTCAATGTAACTCGATTCATTCAGTCTTTAAGTTGTAGATAGTTTGATGGGATAAGAATCACTGGTCTAAATAAATTCTGCTCTTTCTGTACAAATTTAGAAAAAAATTGTTAGAAAATACACACAAATGTGCAAAATGTTTTATTTAAATAGTCATCAATAATCATCCAACGGTGTCACGTTACTACATTTAAAGTTAATATGATTGGAATCACCTCTTCCCCAATACATTATATAAATAATTTATGAGTTATACAAACATCAAAGTTGTTTCCATTTTTTCATCACTAAGCTAGACTTTCTCCTAACTTATCACAATATATTTCCGTGGTAAGTCGTGACCATAAAATATTACATTGTTATACTAGTAATTCTCGTCAAATATATAATACCAATGAATCAGTAAACTATAGCATCGATGTATTCATCGTTAATACGATGATTTTGAGTTTGTATGACGTAATCACCGTTTTTATTGGGCTATATGTTTGTTCAAATGTAAATTATTTTCTGTGAACAAGGTTGATTGTATTTTTTAAATGTTTATTTCCTACGGATACTAATTCGCAATCGCAATGAATGCAGTTTGTTCAATCAGGGTTTCAAATTTCAAGTTTTACAAGCACAATTTTAAAAAGTATGTTTTTACTGTCCTATTATTTTTTTATTTTCTTTCTTATAATAAATAGCTAAATCACCACGATTTATTAATTTTTGTCCCCTCGCTTGAATTGCAGCTGGTACTTTAGCAACATCGACCCTGAAGAAGCCGAGAACAAAGTTTAAAATGGCAACCCAAGTAAAAGGGACGTTCTTGTTGGGAGACGCTGAAACTGAAATAGGTCAGTGACGTCAAAGTTAATTTGTTTGTTGATTGGATTATTTCAGTGCACGAAAACTTAAAAGGCAGTGGTCGTCGCGTTGCGCATGTGCGGCATTTGTATTGATAAATATTGGTTTTCACTAGTCATCACTAGTTCCAGTGTTAGGTCAAACCGGTGGACATATATCGTCACTCCCAGAGTATTCACGCAAATTAACCACCTAAATTGGAACCCTTAAAGCCACAATATAATTATAAAAAATCTTAGAATGATGTTCGTTGCATTTAACAATGATAAACTTACAGAAAATCCGTGTTTTTCCCTATCGTTTTCACCGCTAACATCGATTGAATCCACTATATTATTTGAGTGAGTTTGTGACCGGAGACGTCACCAGGTGCGCTATAGAAGGGGGTCTATGATTGGTTGACTAAACCTGTCAGAGATCTCATTTAAATCTCTTTATATGAGCGTCGGTTCAGATGTATGTGGTGAAAGTTACAGTAATACAAAATAAGATGTACGCGAAAGAAATAAACCAATTACAAAATAATAAAAATAAAATAAATTTTCTAAAATAAAATTAACTTCAAGCCGTAAAATACATAACATGATACATGCTCAATGCCACGTTTCCACATAATATAGATCTGTGACACGGGCGGTGAAGGCAATATATTGAAAAATAGTTTTTTTTAAATATTTTTTGTAATAACACATTTTTCCTATTTCCTGTGGCGCAACTAGAACAGCGTTTTCAGGCCATGATAAATAAAAGACCAATGTATTTATGAAATAGTATGTTTTTATCCACACTACATATTTAAGTGTGTTTTACGCGTTATATATATCAAGTCGTTGTAGTTACTTCTCGATTCTAGATTTGGGCCACGGTTTGAAATTGTGTTCTTGACAGGTTGTGACTGGCATGGTACTTTCTGTTAGAGTATTAGTTATTAATTAATTTATAAAAGTTATAAATTTGTAAAACATACAATGTTCTGATTGTCATGTAATTCCTTGTTTTCCATCAAGGTAAAATATATGTTGCCCTGTATTCATACAACTCAAGATCAGATGATGACCTCGCATTCAAAAAAGGCGACAAATTACTGATCAAAGATACAAGGTGAGTCAACCAGTTGTCATGGCAATGGCACATGTAATGCATCACCGTTACAGTAGATTATCTAATTGTCACGTCGATTTAGGGCCACCCTAGCGTATCTGTGCTCTACTGGAAAAAATATAATTCGTGAACAGAATTGGTCCTTTTCCGGCAACAATGATTTGGTAAAAGCATTCCGAAACGTTCTCACTTGTCGCCGAAATTCAGAAATTAGAAACAAAACGATTTACATGTATGAGTGCTTTTATAGATTTTATTACTTGTATGTTTCGTTTTACGCCGTTTTTAAAAAGCTAATAGAATATTATTATTATAGTACAGAGAGTTTGACCTTCCGTCATATTAAGATTGGCTTGTCTAATTTCCTTTTTAAAACGAGTGCCCGTAATTGTCCAAAGAAATTTGCGGTGTGTGTAAAATATATATGTTGTGGAAGGAACATGAATCATGATAGTGTGCACTACGTCAGCATGTACTATCCAACTTGAATCATGATAGTGTGCACTACGTCACCATGTGCTATCGTACATGAATCATGATAGTGTTCACTACGTCGCCATGTGCTATCCAACATGAATCATGATAGTGTGCACTACGTCGCCATGTGTTATCGAACATGAATCGTGATAGTGCGCACTACGTCGCCATGTGTTATCGAACATGAATCATGATAGTGTTCACTACGTCGCCATGTGCTATCGAACATGAATAATGACAGTGTGCACTACGTGGTCATGTGTTATCAAACATGAATAATGACAGTGTGCACTACGTCGCCATGTGTTATCGAACATGAATCATGATACTGTTCACTACGTCGCCATGTGTTATCGAACATGAATCATGATAGTGTGCACTACGTCGCCATGTGTTATTGAACATGAATCATGATAGTGTGCACTACGTCACCATGTACTATCCAACTTGAATTATGATAATGTTCACTATATCACCATGTGCTATCGAACATGAATCATGATAGTGTTCACTACGTCGCCATGTGCTATCGAACATGAATCATGACAGTGTGCACTACGTCGCCATGTGCTATCGAACATGAATCATGATAGTGTGCACTACGTCGCCATGTGCTATCGAACATGAATCATGATAGTGTGCACTACGTCGCCATGTGCTATCGAACATGAATCATGATAGTGTGCACTACGTCGCCATGTGTTATCGAACATGAATCATGATAGTGTGCACTACGTCGCCATGTGTTATCGAACATGAATCATGATAGTGTTCACTACGTCGCCATGTGTTATCGAACATGAATCACGATAGTGTTCACTACGTCGCCATGTGCTATCAAACATGAATAATGATAGTGTGCACTACGTCGCCATGTTCGCCATGTGCTATCGAACACGTAGTGCACATGTTCGATAGAACATGAATCATGATAGTGTTCACTACGTCGCCATGTGTTATCAAACAAGAATCATGATAGTGTGCACTACGTCGCCATGTGTTATCGAACATGAATCATGATAGTGTTCACTACGTCGCCATGTGTTATCGAACATGAATCA